ATGTAAATCTCGCATCGTTAGTCTTCCAACTTGAAAACGCCTTATTATTTTTCGCGCCTGCGTTGAATTTTCTCGAACTCCATTTTTGAATTTGGCATTTCTCAAGAACGTCCAATGAGTGGAAATATTTCTCATGATTGTCCATGTCGATCGCTCGTGAGGATTATTTAAAATAAAATAGCCCTATATATATATTAAACCAAAAAAATTAAATTTAAAAATTCAGTATTTATACTGATATTACTGAATTTTTAAGTTCAATTTTTCTGGTTTAATATATATATAGGGCTATTTAATTTTAAATAATCCTTATATACCAATCATTTTTTGTGGTTACAGTTAATTACCCAGAGGGACTGAAAACTTAATTGAGTATTGTGGTTTTACTCCAAAAGTAGACAACTGGCAAAATTGTTGCGAACAGAACAGAAGTCGGCAAACTTTGACGCAGCCACTCATCTACTGCTACTTCCATCAATTCTGAATCTCAACATGGCCGCGTCAGGCGCTCACATTCTCCTGCAAGCAGTTGTGCGCGACCTTGCATCGGACAGCACCAAGTATCACTGCCTCTACGGATATTACATGCTTGGTCTCTCCAAATCATACCTTGCAACACTGTACACGAAGCACAAATCTACAATCACGGCTTGGATAACGAGCTACGAGGCCAACGGATCTGTCTCCCGCAATGACCAAAGCAAGGAATAACGTGAGGGGGCAGTTTAGTGAGCACGGAATTGACCAATGAAAACCGCAGGGCTTTCAGGCGGCAAACTTCCCAAACTTGATACGATCGTGGGCTGTTTTGGCGCCTTCATGGCAGGGTCACGAGGTCGATACAGACCCCAGCTGCTCGAGGCTGCTCTCCTTGATGTCTTCAAGGGTGAAAATGGCAAAGCAGTATCCGCTAGGACTGGAATACCCTACACAACCCTAATGAAAAACGTGCGTGCGGCTAAAGGCTGGCCAAGCACGTACACCGAAGCACAAAACCAACCCTTCCTGCGAGCTGTGAGGCTGACCTTGTTGCATGGATTGGAGCCATGCAGCAAGATGGCCACCCTGTTGACAACCAAGCTATCATCATCAAGGCCAACCAACTTCTGCGCAACCTCGACCCAGCACTTTCACTATCAAGAAGTTGGATCAAACGTTTCAAGCAGCGGCATCCCCAGCTCACGCACAGTTTGGCACAAGTCATCTCAAATGCCAGGAATGCAGTGGATGTTGACGGCGTCGAGCGGCTTTACCAAGCCATGTGCTCAGCGATCAAACACACAAGCTCACACCTGAAAGAGTATTCAATATGGACGAAACCGCGTTTGCATCCAGACGAAAAAGTACGTTATTGCCCTGAAAGGTTCTCAAAATGTTTGCTCCAAAACAGTTCCTCCGAATTTTCATTTGTCAATTGTGGCATGCTGTAGTGCGTCAGGATATATTTTTCCTCCTATGTTCTTGTTTCCTGGAGATACAATTGACAAATCATTGAGTTCAGAATGTTCAGTGCCTGGTGCATCGATTTCTACTGTACTTCTCCAAAAGGATTTATGCATTTTCAGCGTGGATTAAACATTTTTCTGAAACATTGAATGCGTCTATCAAACGCCCCATTCTCTTGATTTTTGATGGGCTTGCATCTCACTACTCAATGAACATTGTGAAATGTATTGTGCGATACATTAAAGACTATTTTTCTATGTTTGCCATCAAATGCAACTCATTTATTCCAACCTTTGGATGCGGCTGTCTTTGGACCATACAAGACTGAAATCCGAAAGGGCATCTTAGATGAAGTTATAAACGACGGTACACGAGATGTCCAAGTATGTATTCACAATTACGTAGTGTCAGGTGACTTACACAGCATTTCCAAGTCCAAGGCACTCCGAATTGCGTCGAACGCATGGGCGCAACGAGTCGTGGGGCCAAATGTTGTCAGCGGTTTCTCCACCACTGGTCTATGGCCCCTGTCAAAGGACAAAATGATAAATAGATTCAATCTTTTCAAGCAAGGGGGCGTACCCAAGGATTACCTCGAGGCCAACTGGATTGAGCGCCGCGAGACACTCCGGCGCGACCTTTTGTCTCTTCCACCCGAGGCCGAAAAATAGCAGTCAAGAAAAACAATTGATGTTGGTGGTAGAATTCTTACCTTGGCACTCCTGGGCGAAATCGACAAGGCCAAGAAGGACAGAATTGAAACCGCCAAACTCAAAAAGGCACTCGTGGCCATGCGCGTCGAAAAGAAGGCCAAGCGCATGGTGCTGTCGGACGTCGCCTTGAAATGGGCTGCCTCGGCAGCCATCCGAGGGTTTCAACCTATGTCAAATGGGACTGTGAAAGCAAGCAATGAAGAGGTCGTAGTGTAAGAAGCCTAGGTCTCATGTACCTTGAAACCCAAATGAATGTGTTACCTCCATGGGACGTTTTCTGGTTTGACCACGCTGTCCAAGAACCTTCTCAAACTGTATACCTCTCGACAATGAAACTTTACCTATCCAAAGGACGTAACCTAACCTCTAAAAAATAAGCATTTTTTAATTTTAAGATATTTTCGTGTACCTTAAACTGCCGCACCAATTGTGATCAAAGTTGCATCATAATTGTGGTTTATTTACCTTAGAATCAACCCAACAACCAATCTGCCGGTGTCACTGCACTTGGTGGTCAC